TTATACTGTTTTTTGGAAAATTCGAAATTTCTGTAAAATCAAAGTGGGGTGTTACAACTGATGTTGACTGACGTGAAGGTCAAGAAAGCATAAATTCTTTCAAGTTCTAATTACACATTAATTAATGTGATATAACACCCGTACTAGCTCGGCGGATCGTGTCAAAGTGAATAGTTCAAATTCAACCGGTCCAGTATAACTTTTAGCTCGGCGGTAAGGGTTGATCCTGTCAAGAAAAGTTTGGAATGACAGATCGAAGTACATGCCAGCTCTTGTTACGAACTAGCAAACTGGACTCGTTCAGGAATTCGGTCAAAGAAAGAGTCGTCACGACTTGTAGATCGTAACAAAGGTATGAGTGACCCGATAAGATGCAGAGTTACTCAGTTAGAAGGTTGATGAGTCTACCTACCTGCTGAGTCTTGATAAAGGAGGTAATAGAGTTTTACCATAAGTGTGTCTCTCTAATTAGTTGAAGATCTAAGATATATGTTATATTAGGGAAACAAGAAACGTGAAGATCTCTTTCCTAGTAATGAGACTTGGACAAGAAAAGAACCTCTTTATTAAAAAGGGTTACCAGTAACATCCATATAGTAAAAGAAAATGGTAACTACGGACGAGCAATTCGAACAATCTAAGAAGGTCATCCGGGCAGTATGTAAAGAAACATTACATTCTTTACATACAGTGCTCATCATCTTTTTCATCTGCGAACTGACTTGATAGTTGGAGTGCTAACATCGGGAACCCCTCCCGGCTCAGTTTGCGGGTCTACAAAACATATCAGAGAGCATATCATGTAGTGTGAGCCAGACAAAGGTCCATTACTAGATTGATATATTTTTTTAAATTCGTATTAATTCATAGAGTTGAAAGGATATATACAAATTTTCCAAATTTTCACATTATACTAATTTTCAAGAGTTGTAGACAAGATGTGTACTATTGTAAACTCACATTTTTGTGATTAGTTTGGATCATTTCTTTTGGTTTGTTTTGTTTAATTAAAATACTATAATTTTATTTATTTCTAATTATTTAATATTATTATTATTCCGTATATTCCATTGGTGCTTAGTATTTTTTAAACACATGGTGATTTTTTTTTTTTTTTTCTTATATATGACCTGCTCGATATCAACTGGCCCAGATTGAAAATGCTGATCGGCCCACATATTCGCGGCGAGGGCCGAATGACTAAAATAGACAGCTGACAAACTTGACCTGTGAACTCGGCCCGACGAAATTGGGTTACATCAATTTTGTTTGCGCTTAAAAATCACGAATAACTGATCCCTGAGAAGATAAAAATCGGGTAGAATCTGAAATCAGCATATTTTATGGGAATTTAAGGCGCATGAGAAAACAAATAACAAAATACTAATAGGTTCATTATTTGAAAAACATTAAAAGGTGAATATCTGCTTAAAAAAAATGTTTCAGTCTTACCTGATGTCGAGCCACACGGTCTTAGCAGTGGGGATGACGAACAACAAATCGCTGGTACCTGAAGTTGACTGAGTGGTTGAGGAACATTGTCACGGTGGTGTCGCTGCTCAATTGAAATTTTCCAGAATAAAATCTATTGGAATTCGAGTTCATGAGAGAAATATTCGATCAGAATTAACCTCTGAAAAAAAACTCGATTTTCAGATTGTTATGCTAATTAATAAATTTCACATCTGTAGAGGTGACAACAGACCGTTGAATTGGTGGTGATGATCTAGGACGAATATTGCTATTGAACTTAACCTCTGTAGGGAAGGGCACGGTGTAAGAGAGTGCGCCGAAAAAGGATGGCGGTGGTGAGTTCGTCGACAGAGGGTGGCGAGATGCGGCGTGGCGCTGTGGTGGTGGAAGATTATGCTTCAACAACTTGAAGATGTAGATCTACGTTTGCACCTTCCTCTTCCCACTCTTCTTCTTTTCTCAAACAGCCCTTTTTTGTGAAGTTTTTCTTTTTTCTTCGTCGGGGTCAGATTCTTTTCTCGGCCTTGGGTGTCGTTGTTTGGAAAAGGTGGGAATAAATAGCATCCAACATCTAGGTTGTAGATTTGTATCCAAAAAAGTTCAAACAACGTTCGGGAAAGAATTTTAAAATTTGAATATAACAAATCCCATATTATATGGCAACAAACAAAACAAAATAAGCGTGAAGAATGGAGATAAGATAAGTATGATTTTTTTTTAAAAAAAAATGGTAAGAGAATTGTTAGGATAATTACCAAATGACTGATATTTAAATGACTTTACACGTATCTATACAAAACAAAATGGAGTGAAAATAGGAGATAAATTAGGCATGATTTAAAACAAAAAGAATTTATTCAAGAGATAGTTTTTTTTATATATATTTAAAAGACTTTCCACAAATAGGAAGTCAAAGGTTTTAAGACCAATTTTCTTAAACTTTCCTCAAATGTTTTTTTTACCTTCCTCTTTCAATTATTATAGATTTCATGGTGGTAACATTCTAAAAATCAACAAAAAAAATAAAGGAATGAGATGTCTATGCAATTCACAATTACCAAGTGGAGAGCAATCTTGATAAATATCGATTTATAGTTACCAAGTGAAAAATAATTTTGCATGGAAAAACAAAGAAGCTTTTTAATAATGTATGATTTTTCATGATGATCATTTTACGATTATCTAACAATGTTCTATGTATTATAACTTATTGATTAATAGCCTTCAATTATAAATTTTATCAAAATAAATACAGTCCGTGCATCGCACAGGGTACGTACTAGTTATGAAGTATTATTCTAACAATGATATTTGTACATCCTTCATGATATGTACTATTTTTTATCCAAAGTATAACAGGTTAAATCGCTTCAAATAAGGCATATGTAATCAATTATCCAACGAATTGGAATACAAAATGGAACACAAAATCTAAACCAATGTTTCACAAGAAAAGTTCAACCATGAAAAATATTATTTTTTTTTTCTTTTTATAATCTTCTTTTATTGTGTCTCATATAATTAGTTGAGGGCTTGCTTAAATTAAAGTGGTAATGGTGCTTTTTAGCACTTAAGTGAAAGTACAAATGAAATATAGTCAGCTTTATAAGAAAAATGAAATCTAGCCATTTTGCTAGGTAAAAGTACATAATTGCCCTTGGACATATTTTTTCATTTTTCAGATTTTTATTATTTTTTCCTCATTTTCTTCCATAATTTTTTCCCCAAGCCCGCCATCCTCTGCAAAAACCTTCTCTCCCCCATTGCAAAAAATTGAAATTCCCCCCCTCATTCCGGCGATTCGTCGAGTGGTGCAAAGGTTTTCATTGCTTTTTCATTTCACCGACTGCTGCTCATCTCTTCCGACGAGTCCCTGTCCGTCGGGTGCGCTCTTCTCATTCCGGCGATTCACAATCCGCTCCTCGTCTCGTTCCGGCGATTCACAATCCACTGCTTGTCTGGTTCCGGCGACTCACAGGCTGCTGCTCTTCTCATTTCCGCTGCCCTGCTCTTCCCAAGGTGCGGTTCCTTAACTTCAAATTTTTAGGGTTTTTTAGTATTTTTGGTAAAGGATTCGGGATTTTGTTTTTGTATTAATGCATAGTGTTTTTGGATCTTATGTGTTCAATGGGGCTAATGTTCAAAGTATTTATTTGACTCGAAATTATTTTTTGGATCTTATGTGCTCAACACTTCAACGGGCCTATGTGTTTTTTGCCCTTCCCATTCCGATTGGAAATTGTTTCTTGGATCTTTTGTGTTCAGAGTTGGGTGTGATGAATAATTCTTTTATTTGGGATGGTTTTAGCAAATTGTTGGGCTGTAAATTATGAAATTTGTTATGCTTCTGTTCAAAATCATCCATTATCTCAATTTGGTCAATGAAAGGGTATGTGAATTAATGAAACTAATTAACTTGTAATGAAAATTGATGTGTTCATTTTGTTGAGGATGTTGGTCGTTGAAAGGGTATGTGAATTCATTATAACATGTGGCAAAGGGTTACGAGGTCTATGTATGTCTATGTGCTGCTCTTCAAGAGGATCCAAGGGGTGTGTACAAAGCCTATTTTTGATAATTCCATAAAAGTGCTTGCTTTATTGTGTTCAATTATGTTTTGGGGGTTTGATGAATAGTTGACTCAACAGTATATGGATTTGTTGTGAAATTTTAGTTTGGTTTGCATTTCCAGTTCAAAACTGAACTACTTGTTTTATGGATTGTACTCCTCTTATGAATGTGTTATGAATTACTGTGACTGTAACTTTATAGTGAAATTGCTGATTTTTAATTATTTGAGCTCTAGCGTATGAAAAATTATCATTTTCTCTTTATGGACTCTGAATTGCTGGATAATGATGGTTTTTGTGAGACATGAAGGAACCATTGTTCAGTATGCATCATTGAGCATGCACTTGTTAGTGTAAGATCTTTCCTTTTGCTTCTATCA